CACACACACACTATCCAGTGTAGTATCTGCTCCGATCAGTTTCATAACTGATCCGTGGTCCATTGAGACCTTCTTAAAAAAAAGCAATGCGCGCGCGTGAGAGAGAGAGAGAGAGAGAGAGAGAGAGAGACCAATCTAACGTACTGTGCGCCCCACACCCTTCCCCCCACATGATAGCAGAATTGCGGATCTCCCGACATCTGAGAAAGAATATTTTTGGTTAGCGGGAGACAGGTATGCAAAGTGTGACACACACACAACAGGTGAGTTCAAATCCGGACAATCACCAACCCAGCAAACCACAACTGAAAGGATTGCAAACTGTGATCAGGTGTTTGACAGGACAAAAAAGCAAGAAGAAAGAAAAATATATATCCAAGGCTTACAAAGCAGCAGCAGCATTCCATAGGCAGTGTCAACAACAATGCACGGGTGAGCCTAAAAACCACCCGGACCCCACCCAAACCCACGCCCAACCAACAAACCCCTATCCACCCTCATTTGCACCCTTTTCCCTTCATTTTTTTGCGGGCCAAGCCGCAACAGGTAACCTTGTCAGCATTATTTTTCTGGGGTACCCCAGGCCCAGGTAAACAGCCTGGGAACCCACCCAAATAAATTCGAATTTTTCAAAATCGGGATCCAACCGTACCCTCTGAACCGGACACCGGACTGTCTGGATCGGGATCCGGACGTCCGGTTGGTAACCATGGTTTTTAGTGAATGGCAGCTCAGCTTAACGGAATACAACCCTTCCCCTTGGCGGTCTTTGGGGATCGGCAGTGTGGCGTAAAGGACTTGGATGAGTTCCTGTCCAAATCACACTTGCAGGTGTATGGATGCCCTAAAGAATCGAGGCCATTGTTTTTCTGTTTCGGCAGAAAGTTCAATGGCCGAGTTTCCATTTGACACATCCGGACAACCATGCCCCCGCAAGTAGAATCTGGGCTATTGAGGGCTCATTGTTCTGGACTTTGATTGCTTGTCTGCCATTTCCACACTTTGTCATTCCTTTATGAGAAACTGCCAGTGTTGCGTCATTAACCTGAGCTTCCCCATGTTAATGCAATCTGAAGGTTGCTGCTGTGGTTGCTTGCCCCTTTTTAGCCTACTAGGCTACTACCTCTACTGTCTTCACCCAAATAGAACGCCTGGTCATTATGTCTGTATTTGTCCAACTTTCAGTCCAGATACGGCGATAATTACCGGGAGGTCTATTCGGGTGAAGACGTTGCACAGGTCAAAAGGTGAAATTTTGCATTTCTAAACTTTGAACGGTGACCAATGCTTCACCTTCGAGGCTTTGACTACTTGAGGCCCAACATCCATTCGACTTGTTGCTGATGATGATCAGGGCATGTTTCTGACGGTTCGACCAACCATATGTCTGGCCCTGGGACTTCTTTCTCCTTCTTTTTTGTCTGTGTGCATGCAGATAATGGTGTATTCTTGGCGGTTGGTACATCTAAGCTCATTAATGTGTTTGACCGACGAGACAGCAGCTCTTCTAGTGCCTCCTCCTTGGTGATGGAGAATGATTCCAAAGTGAATGCCCTGTATCCTTTGGAGGTCACCTTTCTGTTCTTTTCTCGCTTGTTTTTGTCTTCCCTACTGCTGCATGCATAGAATGTGATTATATGAGGGAACACTCACATTGAAATCAAGGGTGCTTACTGAACATAGGACAGACTCACATTTTACTGAATCAGTGGTGTTCACATAACAATTATGAAATTCATGCCAACTATATATAGGTCATGAGCTTGAATCCTTATGGGTACTGTTGAGGCAAACCCCTAAAGAAAAAAAGAAGCCATGGTGGGCTTGAGAACCGATGTGAAGCATCGCTGTAACTGACGAGAGATTGAGGAAAAAATGAGCAAACAAGAGGAATGTATGAAAAATTGAAAGGAAACGAATGTGAAAGTAAAATTATTAACGCTTAGTGCAATGTCCGATTGTCGGGTGTTTACAGTCTATATCTACCACTCAACAATAATTAATTAACCTGTCGGCTACTATCTCACAAGGTCCAACTATCTCTGGCACTACTTGATGCCATCCGATGAACAAGACGAAGCACAATGATATTGGAAGATACAGGAATCTGAACCCCCGGCATGTGAATTATGACCGTTTTGGGGGCCAGTACCTACTACGGCGACCTTCAGGATTATCCCTGTTAGTGATGACACAAGCATGGCGATCGAGATGACGATCGAGAAGAAGCTGCTTCTATGCATGACAGTTATGACTGAGCAGTGAACACTGTCTCAACTCTCTCTCACCTTCATGCTCAAGTTTATCTGCAGTGCCATCTGTAAACATGTTGCTTTTGGTTGATCCAACACCATCCACCATAGCTCCCACATTTGTGTGGCCGATCTTCACATCAGTGATCGACATCCACTTCTCTTCTGCTCTAGCTTCACATCAGTGATCGACGTCCACTTCTCTTCTGCTCTAGCTAGGGACTTGTTGGATGACGGAGGCGGCGTGATCATGGCATCCATCCACAGTCAGGCGATGGGCTGATGCAGCACTGGCAGTCTTTACCATGTCCACTTGCGGCTCTGAAGAAATAATTGTCTCTCTCCCTCTCTTTGGGCACTACATTAGGAGTGATTTTTTGTTTTTCCCTTCTCAAACATTCTTGGTTCCATGCACCACATTAAGAATTAGTTGCCTTACTGCATGTACCTCGAGTTGCCCTTGTGCTTCCGCCCCTACAACTTCAGGCAGTCAGTTATATGGTCTTGCTCGTGTTCTCTCCTTCTAGTTCTCCTATGCCAACCTTTGAATATACACATACATCAACGCGGCGAGCCTTGTACGTGAGAGGCACAGTGAAGGGGGAGTTAAAAGAAGAGTGAGAATAATGAATAGTTTCAGTGTGCCCCTCATCTTTGTTTTGTTTTCTTTATCTTTATCGTTTGTTTCGCAAAGTGCGCTCTTTTAGTTCATAGTTATGTGACAATATATATGTCGGCAAATAGAACTGCCCAGTAAACCATCGGCATAAAGGGAGAAGAGGACAACAAACGATCGCCTGTGACAAACTGTTTCGTCCGAGTTTCACCGGCTCATCAGGAGGCTGAACCCTATATATCGTCAAACAGAGCTGCCCGGTAAACCGTAGGCAGAGAGGGAGAAGAGGACAGCAAACGAGTGGCTGTGAAATATGTAGGGTTCAGCCGAGTCAGTGAAACTCCGACGAAACAGTTTGTCACAGCCCCTCGTTTGTTGTCCTCCTCTCCCTCTCTGCCTACGGTTTACCGGGCCGCTCCTTCTCCCGCTCCTCCCACTCCTCCTCCTCCTCATGCTCCTCCTCAGACAAACAACGTGACAAAGATCCCGCCATAGCCCCACTCCCGCTCCTCCTCCCGCTCCACCCTCTCCTTCTCCCGATCCCCCTCCTCCTCCTCCCGCTCCTCATGCTCCTCCTCCTCCTTCCGCTGCTTCTCCTTCTCTTCCCCCCGTTCCTCCTCCCTCTCATTCTCCCGCTCCTCCAGCGCCATAGCCCCGCTCCTGCTCCTTCCCCTGCTCCTCTCGCTCCTCCCGCTCCTCCCGCTCCTCCCGTTCCTCCTCCTCCTGCTTCTCTTCCACCAAACAACGTGACAAAGATCCCTCCATAGCCCCGGTCCCGCTCCTTCTCCCGCTCCCCCTCCTGCTGCTCCTCCCGCTCCTCCTGCTCCTCATCCTGCTACTCCGGCTCCCCCTCCT